GTGGTCAAAGAATGTACTCTATATGATTTTAAATATTTGCAATTTGTGTAAACTTTATTTTATGACACAGTATATGCTCCTTGAAAGTGGTATAATCATAGGTTTATATGTCTTTTTCCCATAATTTTTCTTGTAAACATTCTGTGAACTCTAGCTTTTAGTAAGTAGTACATAGTAGCATATTCGTGTTTTACTTCATTCTGATGATAGATCTTAAATTTTGTTTTGTACTGGGAGTAGAATCCAGGGAGATACTTTATCCCTGAAATACATCTCCATCCTTTTTATTTTAATTTTTTATTTTGAAACAGAATCCATTCAAGTTTCCCAGGTAGGACTCAGAGTTGAAATACTCCCACCTTAGCTTCCCTAGGTGCTGAGATTATAGGCGTGTAGCAGTCTGCCTAGATGAAAATCTTTGATCCGGAACATTTAAGAATGTATATGTAAAATAACTGATTACATATGTTTAAAACCATTACTTAATATACCCCACATGCCTTTGTCTCTTTCTTGCTTTTCTTGGATAAATTTCCACTATTCCATCAATCGTGTCAGGGTTGTTTACTGTTTTTCTGATTTTAGTGCTCTTACAAATTACAAAATTAATACTTGTATTATTCATTAATTATTACTAGTAATAATTAATACTTTTACATTCCCTACACTTTTGGTATATGATTGCAAATATGTTTCATTTGTTTGGATAGTTGATATTATAAAAACATTTAAATTGACAGCAGTATAATTGATCCTCAATTTACAGAATTCTATAAATGATTGTATGAAAAATATCCAGCAAAACTTACTTTTATTCATTAATGTTTTATTATATTATTTCTTTAAAAATATGTAAGCGGTGGGCGAGGGATTTAGCTCAGTGGCACTGTGCCTGCCTTGCAAACGCAAGGTCCTGAGTTCAATCCCCTGTACTGGAAAAAAAACCCCAAAAACAAACAAACAAAATATATGTAAGTGTTCTAGAATTCACAAATTGTATTCATCTTATTCAAATAAATATTAGTGTTGTATTGGCATATCAATGCTGTACCAGCAAGATCATCAATTCAGAAAAATTACAGCTTTTCTTATCAGCTTGTTGAGGAGGGGTAGAAAATCTCTTGAAGTGTAAAATCCTTTCAATTTTGAGCCTAATAATCAAATGGAAATATCTCACACTTTGTGGCCAGAAAGACCATGGAAATTTTTTATACACTGCAAATCAATCCCAACAGAGAGCCCTTAGTGGCTGTTTCATAAAAGCAATGCAATATTAAAGCTACTGGAGATTACTTAATGAGTCCAATGCAATACAAGCTTGATATTAACCACCAGTAACTTACATATTTTCTAACACTTACACAAGTGCCTAACAGTATGAACAACGATGTTCAAGGAACATTTAGTACTGTACACAGGTCTATATGTTTTGTTTGATGCCCTGAGATATAATTTTCCACCTATTTGTATCTCAAAAGATAATTTAAATAAATTAAGGTCATTTCAGACTTCCACAGAAATATTTGTAAGCACTTTTCTAATTTACTAACTAAGTATTACAGACATATGGAAAGTACTCTTTTAACTAGTATATTTGCTGGCGAAAACACCAGGGAGGATATAATCAGTGCCAAGTGTCACTGTAAATGAGATGTCCTGTCAGTGGGGCTCTAATAATAGTCATCAGAGTCCGAAATCTATCCCTTTTACTGCTCTTCATCAGGGAGACAATTATGCCTCCTGAACTTGTGTTTAAATCTTCCTTAGCAGTGTCTGAAATTTATGTCTTCTCACTTTCTGGTGGTTCACATCCTCATTCCTCATCACCTTGGTATATTACAGTATAATCTTTCATTCAAGTCTGCATTTTTCTCTAAAAGACCACTTCTTGTGTTTTCTTATTATAGTTCTTTAAGTTGTTTTTAATGTATCTTTCATTTATTGAATATTTTCGATTCCAGACTCTCAGATTTATCATCCACATAAGCTCCTGGATGTGTATCTTCATTTTCTAGTATCTGTTTTCTTACCACTGTGTCTTCTTTCTTTTGCTGTCTGCTGTATGTTCTTGAAATCAAATTCAACAGGAATCCTTACTTCTAATAGTAGATGTTTTAGAAATTCTCCTGACAAGACTTATGACACTGAAGCAGAATTATACGGATGCCCTAATCAAATGTTTTCATCACTACAGTGGGCTTCTTCAGTATCATCAGTATCATAAGTGCATCATGGTCCTGGAATTTCTTTAAGTCCACAAGATAACAAAACAGAAGACTGCTACTGATATCAAAATTTCAATAGTGGAATTCCCACAGCGTGGAAAGCAAACCTTCTGAAATTTCCGGATTCTCTCCAGCCTCATTTCCTGCACACCTTGTTTCTCTTTCCCGGAGAGACATTCTTGCCATTGTCATTGATGCTGGGGCTGATGCTGACAGAAGTGCTGCTGTGGCTGCAGGCCTTAGTTTACCTGTGTGGAACCATCCCTTGCCTCAGGTTCCCAGAGAGAACACAAGAAGACACCTCAGAGAGACCCCCAAATAAGTACAGGTATAATGACCACACCAGCATATCTAGCTTTTGTTTTCTATTTCTGGGATTTCCAGTGAGCACAACCTCTTTGTCATGGTCACCTCCTATGTTTTTGGCTCGTCTGTATTTTCCATCTTCTTGTATATTTGTCATCATTGTATATGGTTTCTTCTGCCTTATCTATTAATTCACTAATTCTCTTGCTAAATGTTGTCTAGTCCGCTGCTGTACTCACCAACCAAGTTCTTTATGTATTGTGTTTTTCAATTCTGGAACTACTATTTCCCCAATTTTTTACTTTCACATTTTCTAATTTATAATTTGTGAAAACTGGGAGCTCATCTTTTTTCTCCTCTTTCTGCTTTCTCTCATTTCCATGATTCTCACTCATAGTAAACTTTCTATTTATTTGTTTGACTACTGTCAATAGGATATGACTTTATATTATTAAAATTATTCACAGAAATACTTTGAGGCTTAATAAGTTATTATGTTCTTCCAAAGATCAATTTCACTTGCCTCTGGCTGGTTCTTGGAAATTACAGCATTCTGGGATCACCTGAATCCCAGTTTAGGACTTGAAGTTTTCTCATTTACTTCAATTAAGCCAGGGTTGACCTTTCCTTATTTCCAGCATGCAAGATTCTAGGTTATCCAGCCCAAAGCAATGTGTGGTTTTCACAACTTCAACTTTTGATCTTTTACTCCTATGGCCCCACAGATAAAGCAAATTCTCAGTTGCCTCTTTCAGAATAATACAGTCCTGCTAGGTCAAAGTAACCCTATTTTTTTTTTTTTGGCTGAATTTTAGAATTTTTGTCTTTTTTTCAGTCCAGTGATTTCTCTGTCTTATTAGCTCTGGATACTTTAAAAGTAAATATTAATTTAGTTGTGCCATTGGAAGTACTGGTCCATGTTACTAAGTTTCCCCTATTGGAAGTAAAATACATAGGTTGATTTTCTGTCATTAAAAAGCCTATACTTAACTTTCTCCTGAGAAGCACCTAGTTCAGAACTTTAATTCTAAAGTAGCCATTCAGAGCATGTAGCCTTGTCATGAATTTGTAGCTTAGATGAAAATAGGCACTGATGACTTCAGTTTTTTATAATGTTCACTTTGATTTGCTCTCCCAGGTATTACCTACAAGACCAATGAATCCTTTGATGAGTTTGGATATGGAATAAGTTCAATTAAGAAATACAAATTTTAATTACCTTGAAGTCACATTTACAAGAGCCTCAAAACAGGCCAAATTACCCTCAATTCTAATAACATGACTTTCTAAAAGAACACCGAATAGGCCAAGGGAATACATGGCACCCTATCACTGGCTGCATGGCATCTTGGTTCAGGAGGCCTGATGACAGTCCCTTTGATCTCTATTCCACAGCCGTATGCCATAGCATGCCTGCTGCTGCATGTGGAAGTGTGCTCCCATAGTCCGTCGTGGTAAAGTTAGACAGACTTGTTGTGACTGGAGAAGTGGGAATAGAAGACATCTACCTGACACTGTAACTGGAGGAAAACCCTCAGGCAGATCAATTTTGGAAGGAATATCTATAGATGTCAAGATATGCAAGCTGATTCTTTAATATGCATTCATATTCTCACTGATAATAGGGTGTCTTTGGAGGTGATGAACATGTTCTAAAATTAGACACTGGTGATGATTGTATAATTCTGTGGATATTCTAAAAACATTAAGTCATATACTTTAAATGAGTGGATTTTATGGTATGTCAAATGTATCTCAATAAAGCTATTTAAAAAATCTTTTCATGTCTGTGTGTCCCTTAGGAGTCCTCAATTGTCCCGGTTTAAACATAAAGGGTGTAGAGACTGTCAAATCTACATAGGAACATGAGTAAGAATGTAATCCTTTAATTTAGAAATTCTATAGATGTACATTTTGTCTTTTATTTACCGTCTGACTCAAAGGGACCTGTAAGATCAGTGGGCTTCCCTTTCTTGGGACTCACATGCTACCTCGATGAGAAGCAGGCAGAGTGGATATTCAAGGGATCTCCTGTAGGACAGCTCCCAGCTGAAGGGAGATGAGGAGAGGAGAGCAGGACAAGAGAGGTTCAGGACAGGGCAGGGAGCAGAAGTGAGAGGGAGGCCAGCTGGGGCTCCTCAAAGGGTTCCATCTGCCACTTGCCAAGATCTGAGGTGTGCAGTGTGGGCAGGCACAGCCCCCAGGCTGGCAGGGTCACCACTCCCTGTCCCTGTGGCAGGACACACTTGCCAAGCAGGCCTCTGAGTGGCTGCATAGGCATCTCCTCTCACCGCTCCATTATAGTACTGTAGGGATGGCAGGGAGAGGGGATCGAAGAGAGGGACTGCCACTGTATGCACGTTAAAAGCACCGCATTACTAGAAGCTATTTTTCTTATGGCAGTAAAATATCAACCTCACAAATTGTAAAAACTGTATAAGATCACCTGGTGAGGAAATCTTACCGTACACGCTTCCTCCTCATGGAATGCACCCATGTGGCTCCGCCCATGGTGAGGTTGTGAAGGAGTCACTTTCCCGGGACTCGTCCAACCTGGAAACCAAAAACATATTGCCACAGGTTAAAAACAAATTTCTTCTTCCCTCAGAAATATTTAGTATTAGAGAATTAAACTAGATGTTGGTGATTTTTTGATGGATTATCAAATAATTTTTCCAGATCTTTTTGCAGTGAAAACAGAATAGTGCTAGACATTTGCATGTTAATATAATTATTATAGGGGATAATTATTTGGTATTTTAAATTTATTATTGGAAGAGACCAGTTGGGTACCATGATCTATTTAGGTCTATGGAGACACCCTGGGGATGGTGGCGATAAACAACAGTATGATTACTATGGTTACTATGCAGTTAATAAATCCTGAGACTAGTAATATACAATATTTCATAAGAATAAAATCAGGTTTCCCAAAGTACTTACTGTACCCTAAGTGGAACCTGAAGAGTATATAAACATGAAAAACAGTGTTTCTGATTCAAAGATGCCCCTGAGCAAATGGAAAATTGAGGCATACACACATGTCCAATGTGATGTGGCAATCTCATTAGCTGAGGCCAGACTTCTGTGGGTGTGCAGAAAGAGGATATCTTGTCCAGCCAGATTGTCAGGAGTGAGGAACATCTTCCTGATGGTGACAGCTGATCTAATCTTGAAAACTGAGTAGGACATAAATTTAAAAAGGGGAAGTGGAGTAAAAGTAGTCATTCCAGGCAGGGAACTAGCACGTGTGATAGCAGGTCAGCCCTTTAGATGGTATCACAATGTTAAGAGAAGATAAATTTAGTTATGGCTAGATCACGAAATGGTAGACAAAGACTGGTGGATGATGAAAAAGAGGAGAGCGGGGTGAAGATAGAAAAGCCTTGGATTCAAGCCACAGATGGACTGCCCCTGGAGGGTTATAATGACAACCTCAGAAAGTTACTCTGGTGTACATGTGTCTACACAGGGAAAGATAGTAGTATTAGCTCTAGTAATTTCAATATTATTTCCAATCTTGAGGGGAAAAGAGAGGCTTCTGAGTTTGTGCTCAGCTTTACAGATTTGCTCCATGAATTGTTTCAACTTAGAAAAGTCTGAATTTGAGAGTGAGGTGGACAGTACATACATGTTAAAAGCATGGGAAAATTAATTATAAGAGAAGGTGAGGATGCAGAAGAGGTCAGTAATCACCTGTGGAGGTACGTTTTTACTCAAATGCCAGTGACTGGTGTGAGTTATCCGATCCTTCTGAGCCTCATTTTCCTTACTTTTAAATCATTGTTCTCAGAGTTGAAGGTCATAACTGAAGACTACAAAGGAATGTGGAGCATTTCTGACTTACATTTCAGTGTTCACCATGTTTATTCATTACCAATTCATAGCTCTAACATTATGATTTGTAGTATTAATGGCATAATATCCTTCTCATAAAGAAGATAATATCTCAGTCAGTATCTGACTCACAAACTCATGATGGAATCTGCACACAGGACTGGCAAAAGGAGGATAGGGAATGAGTGGATGCTGGATAGTGTATAAGTGCCAAAGGGCCAGTCAGAGAGCTCAGCATGTCAGAGCCCTCCATATATCCTCGCTCACACTGAAGCTAGAGACGGCCCACCCAGGCAGGAAGTGGGGAGCCCCTATGAGCAGAGTTCGTTCCCTGGCTGCAGTGAACAAGGAGATAGATACCTTAGACACAAGGATCTGGATTCTGTGCCAATCTGAATGGCTTTGAAGGTGCATTTTCCCCCAGAACCTTAAAGCAAGAGCCAAGATCACACTTTGTTAATGTTAGATCAGAAATAGAAGACACAGGTCCACAGACATCTGACTTCCTCCCGCAAACTGTGAAGTAATTAAATTTTTGAGCTGTTAAGTTTGTGGCAATTTGTTGTAGTAGCAAGAAAAACTAATACAGATGCAGAAGTGAGAGGCAAACAGACAAAGCTAGAACTGAATCCCATGTCATTTTGGTTTTGAAAACCAGATGGATAATTTCTTTTTTAAAAAAATGCATTAAGTTTACTGGTACAGTTCAGGTGTACATTACAATCACATTCATAGTTGGGAATTTGTAAAATAGCAAGAAATGGAAGGGGAAGAAGGGAGGGGGTGGGGGAAAAGAAAGAAGGGAAGGAAAAAATGTGAGAAAAGAAAGAAAAAACAGAAGCGAAAGTTTTGTAATTGTGTGGCTGCGCTCTGCACCGCTGCGGGGTGAGGCCGAGTTCAGGCCCTGCCTCTTGGCCCTGCCTGCATGGGACACGGGAGCTACAGCGTCAGGGAGAGGACATCCGCGCCTTTTCTGCAAACCTCACACACAGGTAGGCCTCGGGAGCTCGAGGGCCGCGCCCCAGAACCAATGACCTGTTCACGACCGGCCCACGCCGACCACGCCGTCTACCAGGCCCAGGTCCGTGGTGGAGGCAGATACAGCAGTCGGAGAACCTCTGGTAGAGGCAAATACGAACGCCTTATTCCTACAGAATAAGACTTAGTGCAGAAAATCTTTCCAGTCCTTGCAGTTGGTGAGGCTTAAAGGATTTCACAGAACAAGCAGGTGAAGTCGCTCATGCGGATCCTCATAAAGAAAGCACAGATGGATTTCGCTCCTACTCTGACACGCAGCACGCTTTGGATCAACTGGATGGTAGGGAAACGAATGGCAGAAATATTAGGGTTACTGATGATACCCCGAGCAGGCCACAGGCGGGCTCACTCGGGGAGCGCATCTAGGTCACGCCCTCAACAAGGTCACGGAGTAGGAGTTGCAGGAGCCGACGCAGCAGATCTCGAAGTGTCTCAAAAAGTCACTCCCACCCCAGGTCTCTGAGCAAAGGTTGATCACGTTCTCGATCCAAAGGGAGGAAATCTGGATCAAAGAGCGCATCTAAGCCCAAGTCCGACCGGGGCTGCCATTCACTCTCCTGAAGCAGATCTAAGGATGAGTCTGAGAAATCCCGAAGTAGGTCTCAGTCTTGATCTCAGTCCCCCAAAGAAAACGGAAAAGGTGATATAAAGTCAAAATCCAGACCAAGAAGCCAGTCTCATCCCACTCAACGCCCTCAAAGGCTCGGCCTATGTCCCTTCCACCACAAAGAACTTCGGATGCCGTTCTGGATCTCGGTCAAGGTCAAGGCCTGGACCAAGTTCCAGAGATTAATCCAGAACTCTGTTCTGTGCACGCAATTGTGGAACATGTTCCCACTTGCTTAGGCAGTTACTCTTTCTTCTAAGATCTCCTGAGAACAGGGGCACACGGAAATGTGACTTGTGGCCAAATTTGATGAAAAAGATGAGGTTCTAAAATGGTGGCACGAAGTTGAAGACCCTCTCCCTTCTTTGTAGAATTAAGATAACTTTGATTTTATAGCTTTTGAGCTAAAATAACTTTGGTAAAGATTAAGCTCATTTAGACTTTTTTTTTAAGTATTTCAGCAGGATCTGCCGCAGAGTTTTTTTGTTTTGTTTGCTTATTTTTAAATTAACCGTTTCAAGCTTTGGATACTAAGGCTTTAGAGGGAAAGCCCAATTATCAATTATGTTAGCTTTTTATAAAGCTTGAGTTATGTAAGATTTAAATAAAAGTTTGCTACCAAGATGATTGCCTTATTGAATAGGTCACTATTAAATTCTTTAAATGTTGATATCTGGTATTTGTGGAAACAGTGTAAATTCTACTTAAGTGTAAAACAAGGCAAGCCTCTGACCAGCAATAAATTATTCAGTTTGGATAACATTTTTTTTTTTGTAAATTGGGGGTGCAGGGGTGGAAGGGAAGGAAGGGGAATGGTGAAAAAATGAGAACCAAGGTGTATCATATGGACAATTTCTATTCATGACATATTAGGGAAAGGGAAATCCTTTACAAATCTATCATGCAAAAACCGCAAGGTAAGACTCTGTGGTATCCATCTTATTTGTAGCCATTCAATTAATTGTTTTGGAGAAGGAAGAAAGAAGAAAAAACTCTTAATTTTTAGTCAGAGGAGGAGAAAGGAAACAGGATGAGGAATTACAGCCATGTCATCAGAATCACATTAGTATGATGTCCTTGCCTCCACCCAGTTTCAGTGTCTGCTACCTTGAAACAATCCAGAACTCAGTGGCTTAGAACAACTTCTTATTTATCTTTCAGGTGCTGTGCCATACAATCAGGAAAAGACCTTTAACTTCCAAGTTCAAGCAGGGGAAAAACAGGGTTGGTTCACATGTGCAGCACTCACACTTTAGCAAAGGGGATCCCATGTTCTAGCCATTGCTTCTATTGAAACAAGCATGGAGCCCTAATGGATCAGCCCAAGAGAAAAAAGAGATGGAAGTTTGGCCTACATGCTGACATAGATCTTTCCTCTCTAGAGTGCACAATGAGCAAGTGAGAAATCTCAGCTCTCTGCTCTCACCTTGGAAGAGAAACAATTGATTCATTGGTATGTCAGGTGCCTCATCTTCTTTGGAGTTGAACAAAGAAATAGCACCTATCTTACCAGTCCTGGGCTCTGTTTCTCTGTCACACTATAGTTTCATGGGTGAAAATGGGATGGCATTTTGGACTGGTAGAAACCATAGCTCACTCCCTGTTCAACATAGAGAATGCAGAATAAATTCACATCACTCATCTATACTTGAAGATGGAAAGAACTGGTAGAATCTCTGGCCAGGGTGACAAGGAGAAGTCTTCTTATTTATGAGGCCAGTTCAAGAAGAGTAGAAGATGTGCCTGTTTTGTCTACTGCACAAACATCTACAAAGAGAGTGAGAGAAAATGAAGACTCAGGCAAAAAATGCTCCACAAAAGGGAAGAAGATGGGGGCCGGGGATTTAGCTCAGTGGTTCTGCTGCTTACCTGGTAAGTGCAAGGTCCCGAGTTTGATCCCTAGTACAAAAAAATTTTTTTTTTAATTTCTTAAAAAAAGGGAAGAAGATAAATTCACAGAAAATTTTCCTAAAAGATGGAGCCATAATTTTCCAGACAGATAATCCAAAATAATGGCCATGAAGAGACTCAATGAGGCCAAGAGCATCAAAACTGAAGGGAGAGAGGAGGCAGTGATACAAGAATAGTAGGAGATCTCACTACCCAATTTTCAACAATGAAAAAGGAATTCAGATGGACGATCAACAAGGAAACAGAGCACACAAATAACATATAGACCAAATGGATCTAACAAACATATATAGAACATTCTATCCAACAGCAGCATAATATAAATTCTTATCAAGAACTCATAGATTATTCTCCAGGATATATCACATTTTAAGTCACAAAACGAGTCTTAACAATTTTAAAACCCAAATTATGCCAAGAATCTTCTGTGATCACAATGGAATGTAGCTGGAAATCAATTGTACAAGGAAAGATGGAAAAATTCACAAATATGTAGAAATTACTATTAAAGAAGTTTTCATTGTGTCAAAGAAAAAAAAAGAAATTAACTTCATACAAAAGGAAGTGAAAACACAAGGTACCAAAATTTACAGGGTGTAGCAAAAGCAGAACCAAGAGGAAAGTTCATAGCAGTTAATATCTACATTGACATAGAAGACTCCAAATAAACTGAAAGTTACATGTCAAGGAGCTACAAAAGAAGAAAATAATCCGAAAGTTAGAATAAGAAAGGAAATAACAAAGATTAGAGCATACGTAAACATAAACAGAACATGGAAACATAACAGAGGTAAATCAATAAAGACAAGGGTTGGTTCTTGGAAAACATCATCAAAATTGATGAGTATTTGGACAGACTGATAAAAAAATAAATCAAATAAGTAAAACCGGGAATGAAAGAGAAGTCATTGCAACTAAGTTTACAGAAACAAAAAAGGATTAAAAAGAGCTAATAACTGGGCACCACCAAATTGAGTACACTACATGAAATAGACAAATTACTAGAAACACAATCTACCAAAACTGAATCATAAAGAAATAAAGAACTGACCTAGAGCTATGTAAGGAGATTGAATCAATAATAAACAAAGAAAACAGAACAAAAAACCCTCATAACAAATAAAAGTCCATGAGCAGACAGTTTCACTGGAGAGTTCTATCCAACATGTAAAGAATTCACACCAATTTTTCTCATACTTTTTCAAAGAAAATTGAAGAGCCTACTTCAAAGTCAATCTGTGAGGCCAACATTGCCCTAATAACAAAACCAGACAAAGACCACATAAAATTTCAAACATCCCTGATGAATAGTGATTCAAAAATCCTAAACAAAACACTAGGAAGTCCTTTCCTTCTCAGATGGAATCTTTTCTTACTCCCTGCCTGTCAAACACAATTTCACATAGGAAACTGTCCCCCTGGTTTCCTTTGGAGATAGGTCTCACTGCTTGGGCCCAGGCTCATGGCTCTCAGAGAAGGTTTGGCTGATGTCAGTAAAGAATCATCCATCTCCTCTTTCTTCCTGTTGGCTGGAAAGATGGCCTCTTGCAAGGAAGGTGCAGGCTCTACTACTGCCTCTTTGGGTTCTACCTCCGGTGCGGTGGGGAAAGGCCAAGGCAAAGGTGGCTCTGGAGATTCGGCCATGAAGCAAGTGCAGATAGATGGCTTGGTAGTATTAAAGATAATCAAACACTATCAAGAAAAAGGACAAGGAACTGAGGTGGTTCAAGGAGTGGTTTTGGGCTTGGTTGTAAAAGATCGACTTGAAATTACCAATTGGTTCCCTTTCCCCCAGCACACAGAGGATGATGCTGAGTTTGATGAAGTCTGGTTTCAGATGGAAATGATGTGGAGCCTTTGCCACATAAACATCGACCATCTCCACATGGGCTGGTAGCTGTCCACGTATTATGGCTCCTTCATTACCAGGCACTGTTGGATTCTCAGCTCAGTTACCAACACGCCATTGAAGAATCTGTAGTTCTCATTTATGATCCCATAAAAACTGGGCAAGGGTCTCTCTCGCTAAAGGCATACAGAATGACTCCTAAAATGATTTAAGTTTGTAAAGAGAAGGATTTTTCCCTGAAGCATTGAAAAAGGTAAATATCATCTTTGAGCATATGTTTGAAGAAGTGCCGATTGTAATTAAAAATTTACGTCTGATCAGTGTCCTAATGTGGGAGCTGGAGAAGAAGTCAGCTGTAGCAGATAAGCATGATTTGCTCAGCCTTGCTAGCAGCAATCGTTTGGGAAAGAACCTGCAGTTGCTGATGGACAGAGTGGATGAAATGAGCCATAACATAGTCAAATACAACATGTACATGAGGAATACTAGCAAACAGAAGCAGCAGAAACACCAGTACCAGCAGCGTCACCAGCAGGAAAATATGCATCCCAGAGTCCAGAAGAATCCCGCTCCCCTAGGAAGATCTGTCCAAACTCTTCAAGCCAGACCAGGCCCCTGCGAGGATGGATTCGCTGCTCATTGCAGGCCAGATTAACACATACTTCCAGAACATCAGAGTTCACCACCCAAAACTTGGGCAAGCTCTTCATAGCTCAGGCTCTTCAAGAGTACAATAGCTAAGACAGGATGTTTCCAGAGGAGGAGTAGCGTGGCCTGTGGAGGCCACACCAGGGCAGCTCCCAGAAGGTATACATTTGTGTATTGAAAACACAGGATCTTTAATGTCATTGCTATTTTTGGCTGTAACATCTTTCTAGCCAATAATAAAATAAAACAAAATCATGAAAAAAAATCATTCATCCCTCATCCAGGACTGTGACACTATTTTTGCAGGGATTGCTTCTCTTCAACCCTTGTTCTTACTGGACATACACAATTACTGTCACCTTCTTTCCAAATTTATTTTAGCCCATGTAATCTCATAACCATCAGAAGGTTTTTTCCAAGGGAGAGATACAGAGAAGGAAGCTTGCTACAGTTATCAAAGTGATACGTAAATCTTCTTGTAGTAAAATAAGCCTATAATAACTTATGTTATACACTTTGTGTTGATTACTTAACCCAACAAATCATCTTTTCTTTTTAAGCTAAATTTGGTTTTACAAGTAGGCTTATACATCTTATCATTCTTGCTATGGCTTGCTTAAAATGTTGAATGTAATATAAAAGTAATACCTTATCATTTTATGCTAATTTTACTGCAAAAATTCTAATTGTGATAGCCATGCTCTTCTCCCTCACTGGAGTATTTAAGACATAAAATCCAAGTTGCTTTATTTACCTCCAAGTCTTGCTCTGATGGAAACATCTGGTACTTTCCTGGAGTTCCATCTCCTGTCCTGTTGGAGTTCTTGTGTCAGTATCATCTGCCTTTTGATTTTTGATCAAAATCCTGTGTCAGGTCTAGGAACTCTGTGTTGAGGTTTCACGTCACTGAAATCCACCAGGTTTGGTATGGCTCTGCCAGTGCCGGGTTTCAAGTCAGCATCACCACCAGGACTCACAAACCTTGCACAGGGGTCTTCTAAGGGGACATCATCCCGAAGTGGAAATAATGCATAATTCGGGCCAAATGATGGTGGATAAGGGTAATGCAAATGATAGTCTGGCAGTACTGAACGGGGGTAAGGGTGAAATTTAAGAAAAGTAGGGTTGCTTTTCTTTTCAAATCTGCCATAGTTATGTCTGTCCTCAAACCCTTTCACAAAAGGCATGTTCATTTTTCTTAAGAGTTCACAGTAGTGTGGGTAATCTATATTCTCAACAGTCTTTTTCCCTGAAAAGATAAACTTCTCAGGGATACTTATCTTTCCAGACTTGTACTGGACTTCCATATCCACAGCCTTTTGTAATTTTTGAAGTTGGTAAATTACATTGTTCAGATGAACCTTTTCTCTTTATAAAAACTCTTGTATATCTAATAATTGAAGACAACAGCTAAAGTAACATGAAATTATTGATTTGGCTTTCTAAATATTGGTAGAGTAGTATTTTTTAAGGTAAAAGGTGTTTTTTCTCCACCAAAGGAAGGATAGGGCAGTAACAGAATAGAAAAAGAGAAGCAGAATTCTTGTTGCTTGGCAACAGCTAGAACTCTAATGCACAGAACTAAATATGTACCTCATAATGCAATTCTTAGGAAAATCAAAAACTAATCTTGGCAGTAACAACTTCAAGATACTTTTTACCTCCTATACTCAGGAAAACTAGGTTACTTATTTTCATTTTTTTCATAAGTCAATATCTTAAAGGTAAAATGGTACTTAGTTAAGGAGTACTAAGCAGTTGATCTAGTGACAATACATTTTTAAACAATAAATATGTAGTTAGAATGAAGTATGTAGCTGACATAACCTCCTATCTAAACGTTAAGCTTAAATGGACTGCAAAAAAGAAACTTGTATTATACTAAAATTAAGTTGATATACCTAATTTTTTAAGGAAAGCAATTGATAACTTATAGTCAAAGGCAAGGCTCATTTGAGTGTTCTAAATTATTCTTACTTTAACGCTACTATGATGCCCAAAACAAGAGCCATGAGCATTTTAAAATTATTTCAGGAAACTACAAGAAGTTATCAATTACTAGCCCACATTAAAAGATCTCATCTAAATGACTGATATAGCAGCTCACTTTAAACTTATTTTCAAATAGAAAATTTGATCTTGCCTAAAAATAGCTACCAAAAACATTCCATAAATTAGAGTATGGGGATAAAAGCTCACATCATCCTTAATGAAGCAAACATGGAAATCATGCAAAATTCCAGAAGGGCTAGATACATATAAGTCATATAAATCAAGCCAACTATAAGACAGCATGTGCTTAAATGTGGTCAGATAATAATGTCTATATCCCACCTAAAACCATTAAAATTTAGAAATGTACTAACACCAGGGGAGGGTGTGATAGATGGTGGCTGCCTGTTTGAAGTCCCTGATGAGATAGTTTATCCAAAGCATACAGAATATATCCAGTGAGTTTCTAAGTTCATTCATTTCATACAGAAGGTGACAACAGATTGTATTATATTTAGTTGCTCAAATCTCCATGTTTAATTTTCACCCACTGTATATGATTTACATCTATCATAGCTATTGCCTTAAGGAAACCCTTCCGGAAGCAGAAAAGGAGAAGGGCATTACTCCTTTTTTAAAATTTTTCCTCCAATTTCTCTGTAAGATGTTCTCCCTATAAATGGTGTCTTTGGCTCATAGGCGCTTTTCTATGTTTTTTTTTCTTCTTCTTTCTGAATTTGGGTGATGAAAGATGACTTCCCAGGATGATTTTTGCATGAAATCAATTTCCTCTATGGTCCTTCATGCTTCCATTGAGCTTCTCCTCGGAACTAAAGGCATTGCCTTTAAATTGCCACAAGGTGTGCACTGCAGTTGTCTTCCAGGAAGCACCACACATTAGGAACATGCTAGTTACTGATGTTACAAGGTTCAGGCAAACTCTGAGGGCTGTCTGTGTACTAATTCATAAATTCTATTTGCTGCTTAGACTTTGACTCCCAAAGTCTGAGAGTATATAACCAGTTTCTATATAAAGGGTCTTCCAGACTGGGCCTGGTGACACATAATCTCAACACTGGGAGACTGAGGAATGAAGACAACAAGTTCAAACCCAGCCCTGACAACTTAAGTGATTTAGCAAGAACCTAACAACAACAACAACGGAGTGGAGGGCTAAGTATGTAACTCTAGGTGTAATTTCCAGTAAAAAGAAAAAGGCTTCCTTCAGTCCACAGATGTCACCCAAAGGTAAAGGGACAGGCTTTGGGGTTCAGGGTTCCTCTCTAGGCTGCAAATTCTTCAATAAGTCGCTCTTGCTCTGCAGTGTCCCCCCCTCCCCACCCTAGCAACGTGGCTGCTTTAAAGACCCACGGGATGCTCAGCGCCAGATATGACCGTCCCTCCCTCCCTGTCGTCGGGAGTCAGGTCCACGCGCCAGCGATATTGCAGCCTAGTTTCTAGCGGAAATGCCGACGCGTCCGCCGGAAATGGCTGCGCGAGCATCCGGGCCATTCTTCCGGTAGGCCTCCTTCTAACTTCCGGGGGCGGGTGGGCGCGCGTCGCGTAACGACCTTCTTTTCGGAGGGTGGGCAGGCGGCTGCGGCGTGGCATGGAGGCCTCGGCCGCCGGCCGGGCGTGGCGTGGCTGGCGGCGGGCTCGGGGCGGGGGCTCCCGGCTCTCCCGGGCCACCATCTTCCTGTTCTCCGCCTTCCTGGTGCGGGCGCCCGCCTCAGGTGAGGGGCGCCGTCGCCCGGCAGCCGCGGCTCCTGCTGAGAACAACTGGTTCCTGCGAGGCAAAGCTGCGTCCTCCAACACCCAGCGAGCAGGGCGGGAAAGCTAACGATGTACAGATAGAACAGACCACTCAGACAGCCCCAGATGGAGTGTGAAATTCAGCTGCTTAATAAATTTTCTAATTGAATCCTTGGGCCGTTGGCCGGGTCTGTGTTTCAGTGGATTCTAAGGATGTATTGAGTATTTCACAATGAGTAGGCTTCCTGCAGCTCTTAAATATCCCCCGTAGTGGAGCTCCATCTATTGGTTTTCGATGTAAACTGCAGGATCCGTTTGGAGTTTTGACGTCTGAAGGACTGAATTATTTATGATACAAAAATCTCTGAAGAAAGAAGGGAAAATTCAGGCCAATTGTTGTTCAACCAAAAAGACGTTTTCTGCCTTATAACTCCTGCAAGAATATAAATGTAGAAGAAATGTGGCAGTAACCATGCTATAGGATGGAGAAAGGAAAGAAAGAATCGGAATGGATGCAGATTAACAAATGTGCCAAAACCCGCGCATCCAGATTCCAAGGATTGCTCTAGGAGAATAGCCAATAGCCTTTAGTTGTCCTGTTAGGGAAAGATGTTTTGGAATGTGGTTCATGGTCTTATACCTAGGTGTGAAAGAGTGTGCTTTTGTTTTGAAAGCTTACCTGGCTTTCTTTTGGTGTATTAACAAGAGTAGACCTCTGAGGTTATAAGAAGTAGGTAAGCAGTCAATAGGTTAATATAGATAGGTAAATATGAATAGTGAAGGCCCGATACTTAAATGGAACTTACAGTTTATACAATATTCCACTCAATTCTTACAATGATTCTATAAGGCTGGAATTATTGTTAGTCTGATTTTGCAAATATGAAACTGCAGCTCTTAGAGTTTAAAGTGATTTCCCTAAAATCAGTTTGTGGCAGAATTTGGATTTAAACTCAAGTTATCTGGCTTCTAATATCATATCCTTTCCTTTGCATTTTACTCTTCTTCTGTTAAGGTTACTTAGGTATAATGCCTTATAGTATTGCATTTTTATATAGCCTCTTTCACTTTTTCTGTTCTTCCTATTATGCCTATCAACATCTGCTCATCCAATGATGAATGAAGAATACCAGAATATATTTCGCAATTACTCTTTAATAGTTGTTAGGCACAGGGTACAGTGCTTGGTGTTAGCTCTCGTAAATTCACAAATATTGATGCTTCCATCAATGGAATTTATAATCTAGTGAGGAAATTATGTTTGTGCATAAATATATTCCAAAGTATAATGAGTGTTATAAGACAGATGCTAGTGGCATACCATGTCAGATGAAAAATATGGATAGACATGAGGTTTGAAGGGGGAGCATTTGTGACTCCAGTCTTGAAAAGCAAGGGACTTGGATTTAAAAGCATCCTATGTTGCTATAGAAAAAGCCTCAGGTGAGCTATAATAGGGAGAAACAGCAGGCAGATTAGATTCATTAGGACACATGAAGGGGAGTACAGTTGGAAACCCAAAATCAGATGTCCGAGAAGATTGGTTCATGGTTTTTCCCTTGAGGAAATTTCAGATATACTATTTTTAACATTTTGGAATATGTAATGAGGCAGACTGTTGGCCATTTTTTTCCCCACAGTTGGATATTTAGTTCGATTGCCGAGAAGTTTTCGCTTGACTCAGGATACAGTGAAAATAGTGGGATCGTCACATTTTCCAGGTACTCATAAGTAGATGTTCAGTAATTTAAAGGAAGTTACTAGCATTCGTTTAACTTTTAATAATCTTGTCCGAAAGACTAATGCCCCTCAGTTAATCTAGTCCCATAAGGTCCTTTTGCTTCTGCAGAAATGAACTAAAATAATTTATATATTTATATTCATTAAGTTCTAATTCTGTATGTTGTAATTGCTTAAGTGTACAAAAATAATTCTTCTTTTTTGGTAACGGGGTTCAAACTCAGGACCTTGCACTTGCAAGGCAGGTGCGGTGCCACTGAGCTAAATCCTCAGCCCCCAAATAATTATTTCTAAAAGTTAGCTATAGTTGCTATCTATAGTGGTTTTGCTTGTTATTATATAATATTAGCTATATCATTAAATGTGGACAGTTTATGCTGAAACATTTTTCAAATGAGATCTACATATCATAAAGCTTTTGGATTTTCAAGAGTTTATAATAGTCATATGAGTTGCAACTGAAACTTTTTTGCATTTATTGAAATAAATTCATTTGCCACAAATTTCTTCCTTTAAAGTGTACAATTAAATTGTTTTTCTTGTGTTCACAAGTCATCACCACTGTCTAATTTCATATTTTCATCACTCTCAGAAGAAACACTATACTCACTGACCAGTACTTCTGCAGCCCATGGAAACCATTGATCTATTTCCTTTTTGTTTAATTTACTTTTTCTGGACATAAGTGAAACTATATACTGTGTGACCTTTTGAATCTAGGTCCTTTCACTTAGTTTAATGTTTCTGGGCTTCATCCATTCTATAGAATATATAAGAACTTCATTTCTGTGTATTGCTGAATAATCTTCTGTCGTATGTGAATGTATGTTTTCACTTCTCATGGTTATAAAGTAGAATTACTGGGTAATGTGTTAATTCTGTGTTTTACATTTTGAGGAACTGCCAAACCACTTTTCAAAGAGCATAAACTAATTTGCTTTCACATCAGCAATGTTTGGGGGCTCAGATGTCTCTATATCTACATCACCGCTTGTGATTTTCATTTTTTCTTACAGTGTGTGAAGTGGTATCTAATTGGCTTTTGAGGTTTGTTTTTCTAATGACTCGTGATATTGTGACTCTTTGTGTGTATTTTGGATATGTGGGTATTTTCCTTGCAGAAATGCCTATTGAAGTCCTTTGCCTATTTCTCCTTTGGTTTTTTGTTGTTGTTGAGTTGTAGAGTTCTGGATATATTCTGGCTAGTAGACCTTTATCATGTAAACAGTTTTCAAATATTTTCTCCTATTCTGAGGATTGTTCTTTTGGCTTTCTTAATGTGACTTTTGAGATACACATTTTGAACTCTGATAAAGTCTAATTTCTATTTTTTTCTGACGTATCAGTTGCTACATCTAAGAAATTATTCCCTAATAAATGCTCACAAAGTTCTATTCCTTTGTTTCCTGGTAAATGTATTTATTTAGTGTTTGATTCAGGTGTTTTGATCCATTTTGCTAATTTTGTCATGATGCATGATAGAGATCAAACTCATTTTTTAATGTATGGTTATCCAATTTTTCTAGCCCTGTCTATTGAATAGACTGTTTTACATTTTATTGCATTGTCTTGGAATCTTATTAAAACAATTAACCACAGTTGTGTGGGTTTATTATAGGGTTTACATATTATTCTCTTCATCTGTATGTCTATCCTGACTACCATGCTGTCTTGATTGTTCTTGCTTTATAATAAGTTTTGAAATCATTAAACATAAGTACTTCAAATTTGATATTCTGAGTCCTGTTAGTCCCTTGCAATTTCATATTCATTCTATAATCAAACTGTCAGTTTCTGCAAAAATATCTACTGGGATTTTAATAGGCTCTGAATTTTTAGATTAATTTTTGGCACTTTAACAATCTTAATTCTTCCAATCCATGAATGTGAAATGTCTTTCCATTTATTTAAATCTACTTTAATTTCCTTTTGTGATATTTTTTACTTTGCAGTGTACAAGTCTTATGTTTCTTTTATTAAATTTAATTCTAAATATTTTATTATTTTTGATCCTGTTTTAAATGGAAGGATTTTACCCAGTTTTAGGATTATTCATTGCCAGTTTATGGAAATACAATTAATGTTTTCATATTGATGTCAAAACAACCTGCTACTTTCCTTAATTCACTTATTACTTCTATTTTGAGGCGTGGACTCTTTGGGATTCTCAGTATAGAAGATCCTGACCTGTGCAGGTAGAGGTGATTATATTTCTTCTGTCCAATTTTTTTTCTTACTAATTGCTTCAGCTAGAAAATCCAGTTCAGTACTCATGAAAGAATCTTTCTTGTTCCTATTTTAGGGGAAAGGGAAGGTTTACGATTTACCATTAAGTATGTTGTTAACTTTGAGTTTTTATAGATATTAAGGTATGCTGAATCAGTTTTGAGGGAGTTCCTTTCTGTTCCTAGTTTGTTGAATGATTTTATTGTGAAAGGATGTTGGATTTTATCACAAGCTTTTTCTACATCCATAGAGATGATATATTTTCATCTTTTTTTGAGTTATATGATGTATTACATTTCTTTTGTATTTGGACCTAGCCTTACATTCCTGGGATAAATCTCAGTTGACTATGATGTATAGTGCTTTTTGATGGTACTGGATTTGGTTGCTAGTGTTTGGAGAATTTTTATATGTATATTCATGAGAGAAAGTCTATAGCTTTCTTTGGATTTCTTTGATTTTGGTTTTAGTGTAAGTTGGGATATTTTCCCTTTCCTACTTTTTTAGAGTTTGTGAAGGATTACTGTTTATTCTATTTTATTTATTTGGTAACTTCAGTGAATTCATCTGTGCTGGATTTTCCTTGGTGGAAGTTTTACAAACTAATTTAATTACTTATTTTAGATTTATTCATAATTTTCTATTTCATTATGCCTTCTAATGAGAAATAAGCTATCAATGTATGTGATTCGTTGCTGCTCTCCATTGCTTTTGTGTTTCTTTGTTTATAGAGCAAAGTCTATAAACAACCTTTGTTTAAAGATTGACATCTAGGTGTAGATGTCTTTAATCTTATTATTTTAGAGTTCATTGAGCTTCTCGGGTTCTTCATTGAGTTTATGTTTTTCATCCATTTTGAGAAATTTTTCTCATTATTTCTTCAAATATTCTGTGTCCCTCTCTGCTCTTTCTGGGACTGTCCTTATACATGTGCCAGTATATGATGACTGGCCTGGTGTAGTCTGTTCATTTATCTTTAATCTTTTATTTCCTTCTGTTCCTCAGATTAGATAATCTCAAAATGATATACCTTTAAATTTACTGATTTCTTCTACCTGTTCAACTTGGAATTGATTCCGTCTAGCGAATTTTTCATTTCAGTTAGTATATTTTCATACAGATTTTGGGGAGCTCATTTTTATAATTTTTGCACTCCACTGATATTCTGTATTTGAAGAGATGCCCCATAGTCTTAAGTACTTCAGCCATAGTCTTCTTGGGCCAGAGTTAAAATAGCTCATTTAATGTGTTTTTCCAGGTAGCCCAACAGTTGATCTTTCTCGGGCTCAGTTTCAAATAGCTGCTCTTTATTTTCATACACATGATTATACTTTCTTCTTTTGCATGTTGTAATTTTAATTTGAAAACCTGACATTTTAAGTAATATAGTGTACCAACTCTGTAAACGTAAGTCTTCATTCTCAGAATGTGACGCTGAGTTTATTAGTGACTTTTCTGAACTAATTTTGTAAATTATGCAATCTTTATCATCGGTAGCCACTGAAGTCACTGTGCAGCTTTCTTAGACTAATGATTGCACAGAAATTTCACTAAGCACCAGGCTCCAGTTAGTTCATTAGTCTTTGCTGAGCATCTCTGTGTGCATACTGAGGCATGCCTTTAATTTTAGCCAGGCAGTGGATGACCCTACCTTACCCTTCACTTTATGCTCTGCAGAACCCCAGTTTCAGTCAGAACTGAGGACTTTAGGCCACCTGGTGTTTCCTGAGCATGGACACTATCCTGGCCGTGCATGTAGGTGGCTGCCTATTTTCCAAGGAATGTGTCAGAACTTTTCAAAATTCCTGTGGATATGTCATGCTTTAGCATTTTCTCTTAGGGCTTTTGGTTAACTTACTGTTTACCCTACCTATTACCCACTGTGTCAGAACCTCACAAAATCTGAGTAAAAACAACCTTGCAAGTGGGATTCAAAAACGTGCTGTTGGGTATGGTGGAGCACGCCTGTAATGCAAGCAGTCCAGAGGCGGAAGCAGGAGGATGCCCATGATTTTGAACTAGATCGTGTGTTCAAGACCAGCCTGGCCTGAACTACACAGTGAGACCTTGACTCAAAAAAACAACAACAGCATCAAACAAAACAAAACAAAAAACACCCCCCAAAAACCTGCGGGACAGGTCTTATAAATTCAGTTCTGTGGGAAGGAGGTTTTGAAGTCACTGCCACCCCAACTGCACCTCTCATGGCCGCCACACTGCTGGTTCCCACTCTAACGTCAGAAGGTAGTTTTCAGGGCTATTGCAAAGCTGGGGGACAGAGCGAGGGCCGCTGATGGGAACTGTGCAAGTTAAATCCTGAAAGGTCATGGTTCTTACCAAGTATATTAGTGTCTTATGGCTGCTGTGAGAAAGCAGCACAGGGCTGGGGATTTAGCTCAGTGGTTTTGCTGCCTGCTGCACAAGCGCAAGGTCCCGAGTTCAATCCCCGGTACCAAAAAAAAAAAAAAAAAAGAAAGAAAGAAAGCAGCACAGACTGGGTGGCTTAAACAACAGAAGTATCCCAGAACTGTCTCACAGTTTTAGTGGCTAGAAGCTCAAAATTGCCATATTGGCTGTACTGGTCCTTTGAGGGCTTTAAAGGCAGGATCCAATGATGATTAGCACAACCAATTTGATTCATTATAGGAAGGCATCATGTTGATGTCAAGGATTCAATTCAAATATTCAGAAAGAAAAAACAAAATGATCAACTCAAGACAAAAATTTGTTAAAATTCGTTATCAATTTATGACAAAAACAAACAAAGAACAGAGGCATCTTCAAAGCTTCTGGGAAAATGTGTGTGGGGGTGGGTATGTGTATGTACATGTGTGTTTGCATGTTCAGTAAACATCTTGTGTTGTGGTGAAACTTTAACTGTTTAAAAAGAAGAATCAAGATATATTATGTACAGGTACAAATTTCCTATAATGAATGTGATCATTATGTACATCAAAAGTATACCAATAAAATGAATTTTTAAAACTTTAGAGGCAGTCTCTTCAAAGTTAAGGAGAATTTTGATTCTTAAAAACAATTTTTATTTTATTGGATCACAGAAGTCTTTACATATGGTGAATCACTGCACAGTTGGCATGCAGTTCCTGAAAAGTTGTTAGAGACTTTTCTAAAAGCTTACAATTTAATCTTTACAGTGTTCCTTTTGATTTCTGAAAGAATATTACTTCTGCTTATCATGGGTCTTTAAATTTTAAAGCAAAGTGTGTCAAAATGCTTAATATTTAAAATCAAAGTAATATTTGTTGACTTCTTAATCACTTTATTTTTTTATTCAGTACACTGTGTTGTATCCTTATGAATAATATATTATTGCTCTAATCTAAACAACATCTACATTTAATGTCTTGGCAAAAGAGATAAACTAAGATATAGAATTATCTTAATATTATCTTAGTACTCTGTAGTTGAAATTATACCCTGAGAATAAAGTCAGTTCTGAATAAAAAGAACCAACACATTTTGTTCAAGTTGGCCATGCACACACACACGCTCACACTCACGCACTCACACACATATATCTACAGACATACCCTCAGGCAAACAAAACATAATGCATGGTTTTTAATGTTCAGTACATAGATGCAATGTAATTTAGTTCTTATCAGGTAAATGAAACGTTAATTCCAGAAAATCCTGTAAGAGAATGTTACACAAACTCTACAAATGTAAGGTATTACAGAGAAAGACAGAACATGAAATATTATTGGCACATTTTCATGTTGCATTTCCAGTGAGTGTCTATGTCACGCTCCATCAGCGGAGTCCACACGTGCTGTGTGCCAACCAACAGCTTTGGAATGCTGAGCTGGTAGACCCATCATTCCAGTGGCATGGGCCAAAAGGAAAAATTGTTTCAGGTAGGATTTTGTTTCAGTTATCATAATGAAATAGATATGTCTTAAATGTATTCAATGAAAAGTATATCTATATCTCATAATTTATCTGTCTGTCCATCCATCCATTCATCCATCCATCTGATTGCCAAGGAATTCTGATGCTCTAACCTCAGGATTGCAGTGCAGTTTTCAGTGTAGCACCTCCCTCCGGGGAACTTGCCCCAGAGGCCCCAATCTTCCTTGTGGGTGTGCGCAGGTGTGTGTAGATGAGGTACCTCCCCTTGTCTGTGCTCCAGGGCTTTGCCCACTCATGTGGGTCTGTACTTGGCTTATACCACTTTTGCACCATCTGACTGAGTCTTCTCACCCACTCTGATGACAGCGAAGTGCATGCCAGGTCCCAGCTCTACCTGCCAGTTGTCTCCCCTCAGATTTGCTCTGTCACCTCCATTCTGTAATGGGTCCAGAAAAGTTGTTCGTCGCAGTTTTTTCTAGGATTTCCATTCTGTAATGTTGACATTGATGCTTGCATATGCCCTTTTCATATCTGAGCAGAAACCAGAAGTACAAACCTATTTTTGAAAATAAGCTGTAATTAAATTGTGCTTAACTTTCTGTCATATAATTTTAGATTTCTAAGACATGACTCCTCTAAAACCTGTCTATCTCTGTGAACTTTTAGATAATCGAATTAGGAGGGAAGTACGTACCACCTTTAATGAACCAGTTGTTTATTAAATATGTGTGGTTGAGCGATTTCTTATGCTACCTTATATATCCATGCCAGGTACATGGCTTCTGGGTCTGAGCATTTCAACTCAGACTTAGTTGTTTAAGGGTCAATGGAATGATCAGTGATACAAGAATTATACAGTGAATTTTTGTACTTGGCATGGAGTCCTCTGGATATCCTTTCACAGTGTATTATTCAATATTTTTAACAAGGTACCCAGAGGGCATCTTATTATAGAGTGCTCGCTCCCCAGTTTTCTGGCTCTCATAACACTTAACATTTTACAGCCATCAAATATGTATTTTATACATTTATTGATACTTCTGATGTGAAAGCTTTCAAATTACTGCAGTGAATACATAGCATCTTTGATAATGTGGTACTCTCAAATTTCTTTAACTTTTATGGACATGTTTTATTGTATTATTATGAAGTTTTATTTCTGCTGAAATATATGGCAAGCACTTGCAAACTACTACTCTGTTTTAGGAAAGAATCAGCATGATAGGAAAAACATAATATTTTATCAAAAAATAGTCATGAAGAGATGGTATTACAATAGAAATGCATTCTAAATTTCTGTCACATGTTTCAGCTTCATCCAAGATTCAGAAATGGGAGGTCTCCAAGGATAATGCTCTGTGTAAATTTCATGAGGGTGGGTGTGTCCATCTATTCATTTCTCCCTCAATATCTGAGGCTGGGCTTTGCATGTACTAGAAATTAAATAAAAATTTATTTAAAAATCAATAAGGAAAATTTCAGCACTAAGCACATTTACCTATTGTCTTAGTTTGAAGAAACATTTTGACTTAACTTTATAAACATTAAGTCTGCTCAAATACAGCATTGTAGTGATGAACTTTCAGAATTGCATTTTATTTGCTTAATGACTTATAACTTTTTCAGGTACTTTAATAGGTGTTGCATTTGTTAGGCAGAATAATCCAGCGAGATAAGCTGTCATATTCTGTGCACAGGAAGGAGCTGGACTTCACAAAGATAAAGTGGTCACCTAAGGTTACACAGCGTGAGGAGAAAGGTAGTCCTTCAGCCCAGGTCCAAAGGCCTCACAGGCAAATGCACTGTCCATTTTCAGCATGGCTTTCCTCCCGTGTGATGTTACAGGCATACTGAGGAGAAAGGGAGCTTGCATCCCATCCTCACTGCAGCAAGGCCCAACTCCAGGGCTATGTGACCTGGGGCAAGGTGGGTGGTCTGCTGGTCTTTTTGGTTTTTTTCCTGTAATTCTCAAGGTTATAACTCAGCTTTTATCTGTGTCTTGTGTAGCTGCATGAAATCTCTAGCTGTTAATGACTTGACTTTGCTAGCCTTTGTTCTAGGTGTACTCTTTTCTCTGGTTCATATGTACTTTGTAAGCTTACGGAGCTGTAACTCATCATTAAAATGTATTACAGTTTATCTAAACACATAAAATATAGACTTCGTATATGTACACTTTATATATGCCATGGGTATAACATGTATATACACATTGTACATACATGTACACATATATATGCACTATACTTTGATAGTGCCCTGCTCAGTGTAAAGGGCAGATTAAGAACACACGTGCCATGTCTTTGTCAGTCTCTTACCACTGAGACAGCCACACTATTGATGAACTGTGATTGGTGAAAGCCTGACACATGAAATCATCCCGGCCCTCACTGTCACCAAACACCAGCTACAAGGGCTGGCTATGCCCCAGCTCCTTTCCGTGACTGTGGAGGCAAACATTGTTGGTTTTTCTCTGCTTGAAAAATGTCTTAGTGTTTTATCTGTCTCATGTAACTGAAACAACTGTATTACTCCTTTACTAGAAAATAGCACCGCGCAAATAACCTCCACCGGAAGCCTTGTGTTCCAGAACTTCGAGGAGACGATGAGTGGGGTTTACACTTGTTTCCTCAAGTATAGAGCTAATGTGGAGGATCCTATTAAAAATCTTCAACTGAAATATGTTGTATATGGTAAGAAGTAAATTTGTGTTTCAACTTTTCATAATTTTTTTAAATACTGAAATATTGTTACAGTTTTGTTTTACATGTGATTTTTCTATTTCTCGTCTCTTTTAATTAACAAAATTACTACTTCTGTATTTTACTTTGTGCATTTTAACAACGACATCCCTGGGACCCACTAGAAGCTTAGCATGCAGTTCTTACTTAGAGATTCACCTTCTTAGCTACTGTTGATCTTGTGTTCACTGTGGAGACAAGACAGCTTCTAATTGCCCAGGAAACCTCTACCCGTTTCATGTGCAAACAGAAATGGGTTTAGGTGAGTCAGTAATTGTAAGGTGCCTATACTATAGTATTTGGCACTTGGTAACTGTTAGAAAAGTGTTTTTTAGGTGGAAGTGAACATAGCCATATGTAAAACACATCCCAAATAATGATTTATCCCAAAGAGTTGCAGTATTCATTTTATTTACTTGAATAATCATGTTTGTGTACTTCTCCATTTAATCTCTATAGCTTATCGTGAGCCTCATTATTATTACCAGTTTACAGCTCGATATCATGCAGCTCCCTGCAACAGTATCTATAATATTTCTTTTGAGAAGAAACTTCTTCAGATTTTAAGAAAATTGGTTCATGACCTTTCATGTGAGATCTCCTTACTTAAGTCTCAGTGCCATCGCATCAAAATGCAAAAGGCTGGTTTGCAAAATGAACTGTTCTTTACATTCTCAGGTAAGTATATACAAAATTTAAAGAAAGAAAGCCAAATTGAAAATCCATAACTGATTTTAAAGACATGTTAATGATCACAGGCCTTTTTAGAATATAAATGTTATAAATCTACTTATATTTTCTGTTCTCTACTTTGACTTAGTAATAAATCCCAAATAAAATCTTACTGTATCGTGCACTTAACAAAAAGTTTGCTCTCTGAAATAACTTTAGCTCTGCAGTGGTAATTTACTATGGAATGAAACTCAGTACAAGGCTCTATTATGATACTCAGTTACAAAGATTACATTTTTGAAAGTATCTAATTAGAAGATGAGTTAATATTGTTCTTTTCTAAATAATGCAGAATGGGAATCCAATATTCTCTAAGGTCTTTAGATTTATAAATGATCTAATTATGAATACTCTCCTAGGAATACCCACCCATGTGCTTTCTAGGATGTGCAGCCCCATTTCACCTTGTATGCAGTTGCTTGCTGTGTTCCTTTTTTTCCCTTCCCTTCCTTGCTTTCTTATTTTCCTTGATTTCTCTGCTCTCAGTATTTGATTATACTTAACAATTTCACTTACTTCTCCCTCAACCATCTAAGTTTGACAGTTTAGAGACTCAGTTGAGAAACATGAAGTTTTAAAGGTGCAGAACAAGCGTCCAACTTCACTTTCAATCTTTCATTTTCCTTACTATGTTCTCTCCTCTTCTCCAGAAAGCATGGAGAATTTTTCACTAGTCCCTGAGACAAATTACCACCAACAGACAACTCTCTCTCTAGCTCTTCTGGGACCCATTCTGAGGGTGCATAGGAGATATGAAATCTTTGCTCCCTGGTCTGTTTCATGGGCAGACAAATCCTTGGAAACCTGTATGTTTGACTCTGTAGGAGAAAAGAGGTGACATTCAGCAGAAATGAGGCATTGGAAACTTGCTTGCATTTCCCTAATGACTGATGTTGGTAATTTTCTCGTGTGCTATTGCTCATTCATGCATCTTCTTGGAGAAATGTTTATATTTAAGTCCTTTTTACAGTAGATCGTATGTCTCTTGTTCTTCAGTAGTAAGAGCTCTTTGTACATAGTCACAAGTGTCTCTGCTTATTTCTGAACTCCACACCCACTTTGTGGCTCTGTATCTCTACAGTGGTGCAGCTCCTGATGCCAGTGACATGCTATTTTAGTTACTGCAGCTTTCTGATAGGGCTTGGAATTAGGAAGTGAGAATTCTCTAACTGCACTTCCTCTTCAGTGTCCTCATGCAATTGAAGGTGATTGTGTTTCCATATGAATTCTGCTGTGTGCTTTTCCATTTTTGCCCAAGAAAGCCATTGGAGTTTTGATAGGCATTGCATTAAATCTGTATACAGGTTTAGATGTTGTTATGGCTTGTGTCTCGATGTCCCCCCAAAACCTCATGCAATCATAGGAGGGGCTTTTTCACAAGCGGCTGGATCTAGAGTGTGTGATGCTGGGATTGATTCATGCTGCAATGCTAAGATCAAGGGCACTAGGATTAAGGGTGTGAGTATTACCCAACCTAAGTAGTCTGTATAACATATAAGGTATAGAAAGATCTGTGATTGACCCTTGTGGCTTTGCTACCTTCTACCCATCATGAACTGCTTCTCCTCTGTAATGGCCTCTGCCATGCCACCCTGCCTTGGAACCAGCCAATTATGGACTGAAACCTCTACAAACTGTGAGCTAAATAAACCTTTCCTTCTTTAGCTTTGGGTGTCAGGTACTTTGTCTCAGCAATGAGAAAAATAACTAAGAAAGAATTTGGTGCCAGAGAGGTAAGGTCGTTGCTGTAACTGTGCCTGACCATGTGGTTTAGGAGCCTTTGGAGCTGCCTTATGGGAAGGAAAAGAGTTAGGAAAGGTTTGGAGATGCTGGCTGAAAAAGCAGAGCTGGAACACCTGAGGCTGTAGTTGACGGCATACTCCGGGCAGAGCTCAGAAGACCAGAATGCTGATAGAAATTCTGCCAGTCAAGACCAGGCTCTGGAGGTTTCTGCTGGGAAGAAGGACTGTATTGGCTGTCGGACTCCAGATAATGTATGTTATGCCTTAGCAGAAAGTTTATCTGCATTTTGCTCATGTCCAGAGAGTTTGCCTGAGACTGAGATTAAGGGTAGCAGACTAATTAATCTGGCAGAAGAAATTCCGAGGCAGTCTAATGTTAAGATGGTGGCATGGCTACTGTTGGGGGCTTTTAGCCAGATTTATGATGAGAACCAAGAGCAAAGAGCCCAGCAGAATGATTTAAAACTTTTTGAGTTTGGCCAGAAAGGAAGCTCCAGTAAAGTAGTTACCTGCAAAGATGGAGCAGAGGAGACTAGCAAAAAAAAGCCAAATATTTCAGAAGAAGACAACAGAAAAGATGGCCTGAGGACATCACAAGAACCAGCGGGACTCCAGCCTTTGCAGCCTCAGAGTTGCAAAGGTGAAAGACTGTTTTGAGAAGAGAGCCCTAGAGTACCATGTTTCAGAATAATGACAGCCTAGGGATGTTGTCTCTTGGGATTTAGTTCACAGGCACTTGACCCCTGCAGCCAAAAGAGAAGGAAGCCTGGCTGCTGCTCCAGCTGGCAGCAGACCTTGGCATCATCCATGTGGAGCTGGTTTTAGGCACATGCAGAATGCAAGAGCTGTGGGGTCAGGAACGCTTCACCCAAATTTCAGAAGAAGCTCTGGGAGGCCAGGCAGTGTGCCCCTGAGAGGGCAGTGTATGAAGCTGTGGGTATGAAATTGAAGGTTCACTGGAGACCCCAGAAGTTTGGAGAAGCCAGGAGCATGGATTGTCTCAGAAAAACTGCAAGGAGGGAACAGAGCTGGCCCCAGAGAGAAGCCATGGGAGCTACAACCACCAGCAGTGCTGTAGGGGTGGAGCCACCCAAGCCCTTTGGAGTTCACAACTTGCCACAGACTGCTGGGCATGCTGGAAGTGGAACTGTGGGATTTAATGTTTGCCTACTGGGTTTTGGTCTTGCTTTGTTCCCATTCCTCCTGTTTGTAACTTTTAGAATGGAAATGTCTATCTTGTACCATTGAATGTTGGAAGTGTTTGACTTTCTTTTCATTTGTACAGGGGCTTGAGCTAAGAGTTTGCCTTAAATCTCAGAAGAGACTTTGGACTTGGACTGTTCAGTAATGCAGAAACTGTTAGGATTTTGGCAACGCTAGGAGATGGACTAAATGCCTTTTGCTTAAAGGGATCTGGATGAATCTTTAGGGAGCCGGGGCGGAATGTTATGACTGTGTCTAGATGTCCCCGAAAAGCCACATGAAGTCATAGGCAGGGCTTTTCCAGAGGTGGCTGGATGTGAGTGTGTGACCTTGGGATTGATTCATGGTGCAGTGCTAGGATCACTAGGATTAAGGATGTGAGTGCCAACTGCTGTAAGCTGCAGTCATCCCTTGTTTTGCTACCCTCTGCACGCCACATAGTTTCTCCTCTGCGATGCCACCCTGCCTTGGAGTGAGTCAATTATGGACTGAAACCTCCACAAACCGTGAGCTAAATAAACCTTCCTCCTTTAATTTTGGATGTTGGGTATTTAGTCTCAGCAACAAGAAAAGTAACTAAAACAGATACTGGCACATTAAAGATACTGATCCATGACCACAGGATACTTTTCCATTAATTTAGGACTTCTTTGCTTCTTTATTTTCTTCTTTACTTTACTTTTTATAGTTTTTATAGTTCCAGTATAGCAAACTCACTAGCAAATTTATCCCTAAATAACTTATTCTTTTTTTTTTTTTTTTTTTTGATACTGGGGATCAAACTCAGGTCCTTGTGCTTGCGAGGCAGGCGGCAGAACCACTGAGCTAAATCCCCAGCCCATGTTATTCCATTTTTTCTCCTAATATTTACTTTAATATCCAGACCTGAAATTGTTTTGCTGTGAATGAATTAATGTATATTAATGGATAACTGTAATTGCCATCCTTTTATACATGGAATCTTGGAACTTAATACATGGTTTTAAGTAGAATTTAATATGGTTGTGGATGTTTGTTTATGCTGGTTGATTCCCAAGATGTCATTTGTGTGTTTCTAACCACATGCCTTACAGACACCATATACTCAAGTGATTTTTGTTGAATTCATCTGACATCTTTATTTTAGTGTAAAGACTGTTTCACTGTGTTGAAACTTCAGTTCTGATCTTTTCATCTATAGCTATTTTCTCCTTTCTTTTTTACACTGTCTCTTTTGTATACACTAGCAAGATTTAATTCTCTTGAATCTCAAGTGTGGTGGGAGTGAATGTAGGGGAGGCATATATGTGTGGAGGTATGTATAAGTGTGAGTGAATGTAATAATGTGCATGTATAAATAGGTTAGAATGGCAGTGTAATTCATTTCTTCAGTGAGGCTATATTAATAGCTCATGATTTCCACAGAACTTTCTCGTAAATTTAAATCTAGTTATTAGTATTTGCCCACTTTCTAAGAGTTGTTGGGAGAGAAACTACCCTCTGTGCAGGACATATTTCCCCATTTGCGGTAACATTCTACAAAATTTAAATGCTCATTCTCTAATTTAACACATATAATCTTCAAAAATCCTAGTCATTTGGTGGATCACAGGCAGTTGCAGCAGTGAAGGAACTCTGAATTCACTCATTTCTTTTCCTGAACTGGCCAGTCGAGAGTTTCTTAAACCAGGTAACTTTACAAAGCACATATTGTACATTGTGTTTTATTGAGCTGGGAGTTTTATTACTACTTCCTGACCAGACAAAGCTGTTCTGATATTTATCAGTGTTTATCAGATTTGACCACAAATTAGTTAAATCTATTAAATACAAATTGACCCCTTAGGGAGACTGTAAAGCTTAGTCTTTCTCTTTGGGATTTTAAAAAACATTAGGAGCAGGCTGGTAAAATATAGTAAGTAGTCTACTGTGTAGTAGGCGTTTCACTAGGTATTTAGTATCAATAAAACATTATAATAATTTTATAATTAAGTAGGCTGATACTCAAAGAGGTTACACTACACCTTTCCTTCTAGCATACATAGCTAGTAAGTGAAAGGGTTATCCATCTCCAAATTTCATCTTTCTTGCAGCTACCATGCTGCCTTCTAAGAGATGGAAGGGTGGTATTTTGAGGTCTACTTCATTCCATCAGTAAACCTCAGATAAAGCTGTTAATGACTTTAGGGATCTTGAGTAAGTTTAGAGGTACATTTCTTTTCTGGTGGTAATTTTTTTAATTACTGAAGTTTCATGTCTTTGAGATACCTGCCTCATTTTTTAAAAAATTTCTTTTTAGGCAGTTTTGTACAACGACAGATCTGTTCTAGAAAATCATCATGCTGCATCAGCTTGGAATCTATATCTTTCTCGCCCAGAATACAACTTCCTTCTTAATCTTGACCATGTGGAGTTCAAGCGCTTTCGTTTTTTAGTCATTGAAGCAATCCTTGCCACAGATCTCAAAAAGCATTTTGATTTCCTTGCTGAATTCAATGCCAAGGTTTGTTATACAAATTAGTGCCTGATTTCAGAAAGGGAAATCATTGTTGATAGTGTTGTTGATAAAGGTGTTTTTAAATGTTATTAGAATACTACTCATGCAGTAACAATAAATAATTGATATTATACACACACCTCTATTCTAAAAATAATGTTATGATAACATCCTAAAATACTGTTTATTTGGTATATTTTCTTTTGACCCATTGTCTTCTTTTATTGTGACATTACTGCACGTGGTGACAAACCAATTAATGATTTGAGAAAGTTAAGCACAGTGCGAAGTAAGACCTTCTATGAAGTCAAAGATGTGTTTCTGAGAAGCCAGTTATGCCTACCTTTCTCTCCCTGTTATACTTTCATTGTATTGCTAATTCTTTACCTGGCTAACATGCGGGAGAAAGAAGTATTTATTCGTTTCCACTTGATAATAATTCACTCATTTAGCTACTGTTTATTGGAATTGCTCACTATGTGCAGTAATTGTGCTAGGGAAAAATGAGGAAAGAATGCATCAGAGTCCTTTCCCTCAAAGAACTCAAGGGGAGTGAGAATCACTGCCCTATTATGATTATAGTACAAATAGGAGCATGTGCTATCTCTCAGAAATTTGGGGTAAGAAAGTTAAAAACCACTACTTTAGATTCCTGTGAGAAGGATGGCCCCTCTTTTGTTTGCAGGAAGCTGCTGTTGCTTTGATTTTTGTAACCTAAAGGAAGCTGTACCTTCAGGGTAGAGAAACAAGTAACAGAGGAGTTCTAGATTTAACTGCCTAGAAAGAGACATCTTTCTATGTTGCCATCACAACAGTAATAAAATGTTTATAAAATCAATAAGAGATCAGTGCCTTTAAAATTATTTCATAGTTGTATAGCTGTATTCGCTTTTATGTGCGTACTTTTTTTGTAGTACTGGGGATTAAACCTAGGTCTTCACACTGAGGTACATTTCCAGCCCTTTCTCTCCTTCTTCCTCCTCCCCACTTTTTTCCCCTCCCCACTTCCTCCTTTCTTTTTCTTTTTTTTGGATAGGGTCTTACCAAGTTACTCGGGCTGTGTTCAAACTTCCAATTCTCTTGCCTCGCCCTCCCAAAGTACTGAGATAGCAGGTGTATACCACCACACCCACCTTATGTGTGTACCTTTAAATCTGTGGTCCTCAAATGGTTCTGTTCTGAAGTTTCTTGGGAAAATGTCACATGAGTGGGGCTCTAGAATTCCCATTCAATTTCAATTTAATAAGCTCTTCTTTTAGATATTTTGAATATTGGTGGTCTTCATAAATAAATTTTCCCTTGATGGAAGGGTTTAATGCCAGAAATACCCACCGTCACACTAAAGTTCAGAAGCCATGATAATCTGGCCTGTTATTGAAAGGCATAATAATTTTGACTAATAATGATAATTCTATTTATTTAAATGTTAATATTTAGCATATTATGAATGAGTCATTTTTCATTTATTAATATTCATGGCAGTATGGCTAAATTACTTTTATTTTATAGATGAAGAAAGTTAGATTCAAATAGATTAAGTGATTTTTCCAGTGTTACACACTGAATTAATCATTCTGAGTAGATTTAAAATCATAGAGACAGACTTCTAGTACTTAAGTTCTTTTAACTATATCAATTTGTCTTCTACTTCTAGAGTCAACTTCTCTTTAGCTCCTTAAGCATACATTTTTGAGGTAGAAACAGTTGTAATTATGACTTATAGATATATATGTACATATATTTATTTTATATATATATATATATATACACACACATACATGTAAATCATGATTTTTTTGTGGTAATCACAAATACTGAAACCCATGGTGGTTATGATTTTAGAAAAGCTATGCTTTCTATTGAAGCAAAATTCTAATAGCACTTCAATAGGAAATTTAACCCATGCAGGTCCATGTTATGGCATATATTGATTAAAAGAAGCATTTATTGAAATTTCTTTCTGTCATTTTAGACATGAAACAGTTTAAGGTAACTTTGTAAAAACAAACAACTACTAGGAAATTCTTATGCCCTTAGAACCTAAAGTAATTCTGTTTTTCCAAAATAGGCCAATGATGTAAACAGTAATGGCATAGAATGGAGTAATGAAAATGATCGCCTCTTAGTCTGCCAGGTGTGCATCAAACTAGCAGATATAAATGGCCCAGCAAAAGTTCGGGATTTGCATTTGAAATGGACAGAAGGCATTGTCAATGAATTTTATGAGCAGGTAAGTTGCATAATGAGACTGATGGGATATTTAAGAGCTGTCATGAAGAAAGAAAAGGATTTGGATAGCTACATTAAGTGTCTGAAATCTGAGTTCCTTTGACTCAAAGAATTAGAAAATGTTGCATTTGCTCTGGTTCTTAGTTTTTCAGCTGTTTTCCTTTCCTGCTAAAATGTAAAACAAACAAAAAATTGCATAATGCCTTTCTGGGGTGAGTCAAATCTACACTAAAGGACGGAATATGGGTCCAAGGCCCCTTTCAACCCTAAAAATTATAATTTAGAGCAACTGATTTCTGAATGAAGTAGTTTTTAAGTGAGTTCAGGGTTTACTCACACTATGCTTAAAGAATATCAGTAATGCTACAGCAGAATTTTCAGTTCTGCTATAGAAAAACTAACAACTACTCTCCCACAGAAACTTGGGCAAAACCCTTGGCAGAAAAGGATGGAAAAAAAATTGGAGGCCTAGAAATGGGTACAGAGTAGATACTCTGTGATTTTTCAAGGACTCAAAGATAAAATCATGCCCCTTTTTTCATATCTTTTAAAATCTTGTCTAAAAATGATCCTACTAGTTTGCTGATTCTGTGTGATTTTTGTCCAGTCTTGAGGCTACCCACCATGTAGAAGTGAACTGATACCTATCATAAGCCTCATATTTCATTATCTCCAAAATATCAAATACACCTTATGAACTTGGACATTAGATGCTTTACGAGTCCTTGTTTCCCCTAATAATCAGAAAAGATCAGGATATCTACTAAGTGAGGGCTTCTTTTTTTCAGGGCTTTCTTATCATAAGCAGAAAATAGGAGTAATAAATTTGAATCTCTACAACCATGCACACTTACCTGGTATGCCATGTTAGCCCAGGTTGTGCTGTCAATGTGCAGTGTCATCTACCTTCGCAAATTACAGAATACAGTGGTACTTCGGTTCTTGAATGCTTTTGTTTGCAAACAATTTGGTTTGCAAACAGAACCATTTGGCAGAGTTTTGATTTTGTTTGCAAACTCTGCATTGGGTGACAGACATAACTATGCCCGTCTTTCCTACATAATCACAAATGTGGCCATCTTTTCCAAAATTGGAGAACAAATTAAGTTTGTGAACTGCGGTACCACCGTATGTACTGTATAATCATGGAAATATAGAAGTATTCCAAGATTATTAATATTTTGCTGTTCTGTGATACATTTACACTAAATTGTATGTAATTTTTTGTAATAAATGGCTTTATTTACCCATTGTTTAAAGATTATAGTATACAGTTTACACATTCCTACCTTCAGTCTCAGTGATAATTAAGCCTGCCTCAAGAGTTCTCCAGTAGAGCTCATATTCACAAAAGAGGAATTTTGTGCCAAATAAAATGCTATTTTTACATTATCTATACAGATAGCTAACAGAAACTTAGTAGTACATGTTAATGTTAGAAAACCTACTAATTCAGGGAAATAGCATTAGAAATGTTCCTTTAGACCCAAGTTATATAATTAAAAGGAGATAAAAATTAATACTTATTAAGCAAACTTGGAAGCCATGCCTGAGGTTGAATCCTGGTTTCTCTTCCTCATTGGGATTATGTGACCTTGGGTTAGGAACTTCTCCATGCTTCGGTATTCTTGTTGATAAAATACACATAATAATTGGCCGGGGATTTAGCCCAGTGGTTCCATCGCCTGCCTTGCAAGTGCAAGGACCTGAGTTCGATCTCCGGTACCAAAAAAAAAAAAAAAAAAAAAAAAAAATACACACACACACACACACACATAATAATGATACCTACTTCATATGGTCTCTGTGAGGATTAAATAAATTAATATATGTAAATTTCTTAGACTAGTCCTTGATACATAAGTGTTCAATAATGTTAGCTATTATAATTCCAGATTTGATTTAATTTTGCTTTTTTTTTTTGGTACCAGGGATCGAAGTGAGGACCTTGTGCTTGCGAGGAAGGCAGTGTCCAAATTTGTCACTAAAAGCAATATATTATGTCAGACAGTTTCATTTAATCTTTCTAGGTTTCATTATTCTTGTTAAAGGAGACAGATGTCATCTGATAACCTACTGGATATGAAAGTCCTAGCTATCTCTTATCTGACTATTAAACGTTCTTATTTTGGTTAAGCTTTTAAACTTTCTTCATATGTGGCTATACAATTCTAATTTTCCCAACTTTTATTCTATTTATTATCCTAATTATACTGTTTCTATACTCTTATAGCCATTCCAGTGCCATGGGCTTATTAGAAAAGCCAAACTCCTGAAGTATACCTATGAAATTTCAGAGTCCTGTGGATAAGCCCAACTATTCTTTTATTATTTCTGTGGTGCTGGGGACTGAACCCACGGCTTCCACATCCTAGGCAAGTGCTCTGTCACTGAGCTATATTCCTAGCCCCAGTCCAAGTTTTTTTGGAAAACTATTGATAGTTTTCCTCTTCACAGATATCAAATTGTAGAAGACTTTAAATCATGGGAGAATTAATCACTGAAACAGTTTCTGGTTGGTTTCTTCAGGGTGATATTGGGTCATCACAGATACGTATTACTTACATGCAGAGTTTATTCACTGTGGGGAGTAATTCATTTCCAAACAGTTCAGACACTAGGACCAAAATGTGAATAAGTACCATTTGGGGAATGCTTCATTTTGCATAATATTATCTTTCATACTTATAGCAACCTTATATGGTAGATTACTACTCAGATTTACATATGATAATATTAGGCATAAAGCTTGCCCAGCACCACACAGATTTTAAATAATAAAGGTACGTTTCGAAACTATTTTTGTCTGATCTCAAATTGTGCTAACTAGAACTCTAGAAACCACAATGGTTGGATGGTATTAGATAGCAGGAAGTAGGGTTTCTGGACACAGATTCTCACCTCAACAATAGAAGCTCTACTTTTGTTTTATATATTGGGTTTTCTAGTTTAGATTCATTAGAAGGCTCTGCTGTTAAGGGTGGGAAGATTGAAAAACCCTTGGAAAAATTTACCTGCATACATTTGAGGTAAAACTACAACAACCAAAATGTGTCCATTATGCCTTTCTCTTTAGGAGAAAGATAATCTGTACTTGACATTACAGAATTTTTCAGGTGAGTAAAATTGCTGGTACTTTGAATAGATGTGTATTTTTCTTGTTAACTGAATATCATCCATACTAGTTGATGTGGACAGAATATGAGAATAAAGCTTTGTTTAAGACTTATCTTGTATCAGAGAAATTCTTACAGTTGAAATGATAGAATAGATTCATTGATATTTTTGTAAACATTATTTTGATGTAGAATATATTTTAAGAACTTCAAGATAATTTTAACATCAAAGATCAGTGGTTGGTCTTCAAATAGTTAAAAATGTGTTTTTCTTTTTAAAATGCTCAGGGAGATGAAGAAGCAAATCTTGGCCTACCCATCAGTCCCTTCATGGATCGTTCATCTCCTCAACTAGCAAAACTCCAAGAATCTTTCATCACCCACATAGTGGGTCCCTTGTGTAACTCCTATGACGCTGCTGGTTTGCTGCCAGGGCAGTGGGTAGAAGGAGAAGAGGATGATGACACTGAAAGTAGTGATGATGAGGATGGTGAAGAATTAGATACAGATGAAGAAATAGAAGACAATCTAAATCCTAGTAAGAATACAGGGAGACTGTCTTTAATATTGTTAGCTATAAATGTCCATTTAATTGTGGTTTAGAACTTTGCTTTTAGTAGTCATACCTTGAGTAACTACTAACTAGATGTTTAGATTCAGTAGTCAAGTTTTGAGTAACTGCTATGTGCCGGGTCCTGTGCTAATAATATCAAGTGCAAGAATTCTCATTCTTACTCAATGGAAGCAACATCTCTTGAGATGCTGTCCTCTAGCCAGTGCTCTTCAGCAAGCTCCACTTGTGCATGCGTGATAGGGCTATCACTACATCTCCATTTGTGAGGTAGGTGGGTCCTTGCAGCTAGTCTTTCTTCATCTTGCCCTTTGTCAAACAACCTACCCCATACTCCACTAGACAGGTGAGGAGCACATCTTCTAAAGCAGCCTGCTAATCTGCCTTCCACATGGACTTGGGAAATGGATCAGAACAATGGGGAGAAAAGGAAAAAACACATTCCTGGGCTCTAAGGGGAGAATCAAATTGTGCTATTAAGAATTTAAGTTATCAAATGAAGTGATATATTTTTTCTCTATAAGACAATGAGTATAAATGGAAAATGAAAAAAAACTGATTCATCTCCTTTTTAATTATGAATGAACTCAATTATTTGTTCTTTAAAGTAGTGAATGAAATCAATTATTTATTCCCCCAAATAGTATTGAAAATATACTTACCTAGGTATTTTTTCCCTATAAATCAGAACAAATAGGATGACAAGAACCTATCTACCACCCCTTTCACATACATGTACCTTATCTTTAGGATTAGCATAACAAAGAATAATCTTATGTTATTACTATGAATGTCACTTTGGGAAGATTGGCTGACTCCTAAAAATAATATTCACCAGAATGTTAATAATTGTGTTTAACTCACTACATAAAAACCTTTGAAGGTTTTAAACTTCGGATTGTTATGATTTTCACTCGAAATTTCAGTACTATACACCTTTCTCCCCTTCCACCAGTCTTTGTTCCTCTTCTGTTTTATTTTTATTCCTAACACTTAGTACCATCTAATATATTCATATTTTGCTTCATTTTGTCTAGATTGTTCCACTAGAACGTGAGCTCCTTAATGCAGGGATTATTTGTATCTTACTATTCATTATGACAACCTCAATGCTTACACAACTACTTAGAATATATTAGGCAATGAGTCATTTGTATGAATGAATGAATGATACTGCTATGATTAGAATATGTGTATTTTAAATTTCACAGAACCACAAAGAAGGAAAGGCAGACGACAAATATTTTGTCAGCTAATGCACCACCTCACTGAAAATCACAAGATATGGAAGGAAATTATAGAGGAAGAAGGAAAATGTAAAGCTGAGGGAAATAAACTACAGGTGGAAAATACCTCCTTACCTCAAGCAGATGAGATTCAGGTCATTGAAGAAGCAGATGAAGAGGAAGAGCGACAGTTAGAATAAAAGAAAAGTCATATTGAGGAAGCCTGGAGGGCTGTTCCCAGGACCAGAAATCATTACCCGATGTTCACTGTGCTGACTTTCAATTGACCATTCCCACATAGACAGGCCTTAATACTGTGAGAGGATCCTTGCTGTGCTGGCAGTTTCCCACTCCTAAGCACTTTGATCACATGGACTAGAAAACTGTACTTAGAGCTGGGCGTCAGTTGACTTGTGTTGCAAAGCCATTACTCAAAGCCTTCACTGGTGTATAAATATTTTGTCATAATGTTGCTTTGCTGGGTGGTGAGCTCTTATTTTTCATGGGGCAGGGGGCTATAACTAAAAAATCAGGTGACTTGGCTCCAGTTTCCAAAGTGGCCAGAACTTTCTGCTTTCATGAAAACAGGATTTATATTATATTTCTACATGTATCTTTCATGTTTTCCAATGTTTTGAAAAAAGTGTATGCTTATCTATAAAGGAATCCATTGTGGCCTTTCCGAGGGATTTCTGCTCAATGCAGTGCACTGTTCAGTTCTGTTCTCCCGGCTAGGTTTATCTATGAAGGACTGATGGACCTTTGTTATATTTAACAAAATCCAGGTGCATCAATTTCTGATGCTTTTTACTGTTATGTATTGTCTACTATGTGTGTTTTATTTCTGCTCAGAGTATTCAGGTTGCCATGGACATTGGACATCAGAATTCTAGTCTTAATGGACTTATGTTCCATGGTTGGATTTTAAAGCTGTTTGAAGGACTTTTATTCTTTAGTCAAAACTGTTCTTTTACTCTTGCTCAGGATTTGTATTTTTAAACATTTAGTTAATATAAACAGATTTGTCAAAAGAAAAATGTTGTCTTAATATTCATGTTAACCTTTTATGAAATGAACATCATTTTCTCTGTTCTTAAATGAATTTGTGACTAATTAAATCCAAGGAAAAGGAGTTAATCTGTCTTTTGCCTTAATATAAAATCAAATGAAACTAAACCCTTCAGAGATAAAGAACAAAAGAAATATGTTGAGCTCTAAAGGACAGATACATTGAATAAATTGAAATATGTGGTTATCTTTAGATCTGTATCTTATTTGTCATGTGTTTAGTTACTATAAAACCAACATTCATCTTTTTATTTTCTGCCTAAAGACTACATGACAAAAATGACCTGTCATTACTCAATAATTCTAGAGTCCAACTGCAAGATTGATTTCTGAGATAAAGTAAATGATGAGAATACTTCAGTTTATATAAAAAATATTTTAGTAAATCATTTCACAAAAAAGCTTATAAATAACTACATTATAAAGATAATTATGAAGAAAATAGACCATATTTATAATGTTTATAAACTTGTTATGGTGCAGACATATATCTTAGCTGTGAAAAATACCTAAAGTTTTAAAGTACAGTCAAAATGATAGGGTAAATAATATTTTTCATTATTCCTCAAGATTACATCATATGTTGGACCTGTGCAACTTTGTAGACAATACCATTAATTTCTAAAGTAATTCCTTTAAAGTATATTAGCAGACAGTTTTTTATCTACCTAGAATATTTGGGTTACCTGGAAGATATTAAAAATCTATGAAGTATTGGGATCTTTGATCCTGCGCAGTATATTTAATAAATCACTAAGCTTTATTTATTAAATATGTTGAGTGCTGAATTCCTTCCTGCCACTTTTGCTACCATTACCAGTCCATATGTAAACTAGTCCCACCATATATTAGTGAATAAAAATTTTAAAATTTGAGTTTGCACATGTGTGTAAATGCATATTTATATGAATATATGTGTGTATATGCATATATATATATATATATTCTGTGCCTGTATTTCTCTAGCATACATTTTGCATTCTACATGTTTTTCTGCTATTGCTTCTTTTCTGATACAATATGCTCATACATTTGTATAACTTCATACATGTGCTTGTATGTATAAGGTCACATTTCTATACTAATTACTGAAATTTTGTACTTTCTTGGAAGAAGCATATTTTTAGTTATTAAAAATACTCAGAACTCATTTTAAAATAACCCTTAAATTACTTAATTTTTGCTAATTGACATATATCCAAATGACTGGCCCAAATCATCCCTACTAAAATTTTAAAATTTATAATTGGAAGTGTTATGGCTTATATCTAGATGTCCACCCAAAGCCTCATGTGGTCATAGGTGGGGATTTTCAAAGGTAGTTGGATTAGGGTTTGTGAATATGGATTAAGGTTGTGAAACAGGATTAAGGGTGTAAATAATGGAAGCCCCGCCCTACGGGTGGGTGGCACCACCCAAAAGTCTTGTTGCCTGGATGGAATATAAAGGGACAAAAAGAAACCAGACTGCTGTTGCTGCTTACTACCTTCTGCTTGCCTTGCCATGGACTGTGTCTCCTCAGCCATGCCACCCTCCTTTGGAGCTAGCCAACTATGGATTGAAACCTCTACAAACTGTGAGCCAAATAAACCTTTCTTCCTTTAACTTTGGGTGCCGAGTATTTTGTCTCTCCAACAAGAAAAGAAACTGACAGTAAGAAATGAATGTGAGTATATTAAATATACCCAGTACTATAAGGTAGAATCTTACTTAGAAATTACCATAAGCTACATAATAGTTATTCCTTCTCCTCCTCCTCTTCTGCTTCCCCCCCAATCATTACCTCTTATTCGTCCCCTTCCTCCCCAGCCTTCTTTTGGTGCTGGAGATCAAATCCAGGGCCTTATGTATGTTAAGCAAGCTACAGCCTTGCCCATATTACAGGTCTTACTTGATCGCTATTTCATCAGATTAATTTTTCATTATAATTTTCACCATAAATTTGCTACTGTTTTCAGTGGTTTTGATAAATATTTATCATTGTAATATATCTGTATTTATGGACACATTTTTCTCCATGAAAATCTTTAAGTTACTATTTGAAAACTTGCTATTCTCACCATTTCCTTTGCTGGTGCTCTTAGCCTTTGCTGCTTATTTTTACAGAAACCTTCGGATTCTGACATTGTTTAGTCAGAAATTTACACTCTCTCTAGATTGCATTGTCTCATAAAAATATACCTTACAAAAGAATAGAGCCAACTATTTTTTCCTTTAATGTGGTTGCCAGCCTAGTATGAGAAGCTCTAGAGGGTGTGTGGGGTATCAGTGGCAGGTGGAACAGAGATGAACCATTTTTCAGAGAAAGGGGACATGTAAGCTGAGAACTGAAGAATTAAGTGTTTCCTTGGTTATGAATGTAGCTGAAGAAAAACAGCACATACAAAAGCCAAGAGAGGAGAATCAATCCCTATACTGGAGAAGCCAACCAAGATTGGGGATGGCTGAGACAGTGAAAGGAGGAGTGGTTAATAAAGACAGATGATGGTTCAGGGGAGGCCCTCATATGACATGCCATTTAAACTATATTTCTAAGGAAATGGGAAACAGCCTTAATCAGGAAGAATAACATTGTATTTTATGAGGGTCACTCAAGTAGCATACTATTTTAAATTGTTAGAGATTATGGGAGGCTATAGTTTAAAATGATAAAGTATGTCATTTAAACTCAAGGTTATTCAGTACCCAAACTAAAATCTCAATGTAAACCCTGGGCCTATCATAAGTCGAAAGAATCTGAACATTCTTAATTTAAGATAGAGGCTTTGAGGGGACCACTGTGACCCTAAATTAGTCTCTCCTGGCTCCCAACCAAAGGAAATAGAAATGGAAGGGAAATATCTCCACTTTAGAGATTTTGGATACATTCATGTTAAGATCAATTAAATATAAACTCACAAGCAAAGATCACTGTGATGGTTAAATTTTATGTGTCAGGGCTGGGGATTTAGCTCAGTGGTTCCGCCGCCTGCCTTGAAAGCCAATGACCCGAGTTTGATCCCCCGTACAAAAAAAAAAATTTTATGTGTCAGGCTAGGGTCAAACAGTCTAGATATAGCTCTGAAGGTAATTTGTGGGTGTGATTAACAGCTATAAGCTTACTTTAAGTCAAGAAAGTTACCCTTGATAATATGGGCAGGCCCCCTGCAATGAGTTGAAGACCTTAAAAGCAAAAAGCTGAGGTTTCCTAGAAAGGAATTCTCACAAGATTATTACATAGAAATCCCTTCCTGAGTTGCTACCTTGCCAGACTAACCTACATATTTCAGACTCAAGCCTATAACTTCACCCTTGGCCTGAGTTTTCAGCCTGCTGGACTACTGGACTGTTTTTCAGATTTCAGATCCCACAATCATATGAAGCTGTCCTTATACACATGCACACACACACGCACATACACTCCTTGTTGGTTCTGTTTTTCTGGAGAATCTTGACTAATCAAACATAAACAACCATAAGTAAAGAGTAGTAGATATAGCAGAGGTAGACTCCTTGCAATTCAAGATGTTGTATTGTTACAAAAAAGATATAAAGCAATCATATATCAAATGTTTAATGAAAGAAAAGGTGAAATGACAAACGAGCAAGCAATGAGATACAAAAAAATCAGAAATGGCTATAAGGTTGACAAAACCTTAACATCAACAACAGAAGCCAGAAGACATTACAACATTATTTTCAAAAGTAACTGTACTGATGCCCTACCGAGGTCCTGGGTCGCACAGAACATGCCGAATCAGCCCGCTGCACACAGGAAGGTCTGTGCACGCCCTACCGAGGTCCGGAGTCGCGTGGAAAACACCGAATCACCCCACTGCAGACAGGCAGCCACCTGGTTCCACACTACAAAGACGCAGAGGACACCAGACCAAGGTACTGAGTCCCACTGTTCCCAGCCCAGAGGTAGGGGCTTCTGAGCTGTCGTCCCACTGCTCCTGGTCCAGAGGAAGGGGCTTCCCAGTCACCATCACTCCTGCTGCTCCCAGCACAGAGGAAAGGGCTTTTGGGTCACCTTCTGTCCTGCTGCTCCTGGCCCAGAGGAAGGGGCTTCCAGGCCACTATCCCTCCCACTGCTCCTGGATCAGAGGGAGGGGCTTCTGAGCCACCATCCCACTGCTCCTGGTCCAGAGGAAGGGGCTTCCTGGCCACCAACCCTCTGGCTGCTCCCAGCCCACAGGAAAGGGCTTTTGGGTCACCATCCCTACCGCTGCTCCCGGCCCCGTCCCACCTCACCCAGCTCAGAGGAGGTAATCCGTGCAGGTGCTAACAGTCCCCCGCCCCAGTCGAAATGAGAAAACAAATAAGTCTCAAAACCAGACTTCTAGATCACCTACAGCAACCCCAAAGGGAAATGAGATGGAACACTCTGATACTCA